GGGCAGGAGGAGGAACAGTTATGGATGACTTGTATCTTTGGGCAACGAGATAAATATAATGCTATTAACTGAATAACAATATACATAAGAATAGGGAGGATTTCTATCACCACAGGGAAGTCCCAAATATTTATAAGGTAAAAAGGAACTCCAAGGATGTTCTTCAGATTCTGCTTATAATTTCGGCTATACTTAAATGATCAAAGACAGGTCTCTTTTTACGTAAACAATTAAGAGACCTCCTTTGGGAGCTTATTCTAATACTTCCACAACATTTACCACCAAGTAAGACCTACCATCATATAGAATCTAAAAGAATCTTGATGTAACCAGGACAATTTCTATGATAATATGCTGTGTGTTCTGTTCTGTGTAGCACAATGTAAACCCAGAAATATGCCTGTAACGATAACTAAATTTATATGGTATTTAGCTTATATAAATCCATTATTTTATTTGAGTCCCATAACAGCCTTGCCAGAGAAGCTAGTTCCTTCCCTTCCTTATGAGCATCAAGGCCAGGACAGCTTGTGGGAGAGCCACAGGCAATATCTAGAAATATTTAAAAGTTATAGATCAAGTTATCTTCCTACTTTGACAAAAATATCTTTACAACCACAAGAATGGAAAACATGTATAAAGTTAGGGTTTTTATTTGACTGAAAGTTGGCAAAATATCAAATATGACTAAATTTAATTATCTTTGCTCATGCCTGGGCATCCAACTGATCTGGCAATGTTTGGATGGATAATAAAATAATGACCTAATTCATAAATTATTACATATGTATTCCAAAAAAATCTATTTTTCTTGTCTCCTTTCAGTAAAATCATAAATGGTGTTGTTATAAACAGGATTTTCACATAGTTGGTGTTCTGTTGACAGTGAAACCAAATGAGACCATCTTTCTTCAGTCGGTGTAGCTGACTGTTTGGTAGTTTTTTATTAATTTCAATTTGAGAAAACTTTACTCTGCTGAGACAGAGTTGAAAATAAAACATGAAATTTACTTATCATGTTCAAACGTTGTAATGAGATCACATTTAATGAATTAACATTATTGCAGAAAAATATACTAATTTCATCACATAAACTACTATCACTTATATTGCCATTTTAATTATCTCTTAAATGTAATGAGAAGAACCAAGTAATGTGAAGAACCAATATCAAGCTTCTAGACCCACACATCTACAAATTTAAAAGGAATATGAATTGTTTAATATTGCAAAATATTTCTGTCTCCATGCACAACTGTAATAAATACCGTGCTAATTCGTGAGTACCTCTGGAACCACAAACTGGAACAGAAAGAGAAGAAAATTGACATTTAACACTACAAGGAAACTACACTTTGTTATGCAAGACTTGCATTCATGCTATCTCTGACAAGTTAATTAATTCATCTATGTTTTTATCAAACTAACAACTTCTGATGTTCAAAATCTCCCTGCTCTCTGAAGCAGTATCCATCTCTGATAATGGTAATGGCTACAAACAATCACAGCATTAGGCATGGTCGTGTTTTGTATTGAGGGCATAAAGCAAGTAGGGAAGCATTTCTCTGGGACCTGAAGAGTGTTATTCCTGAGAGCAATGTTCAGAGTTGCAGGTTACCAGTTTCCAAGTGAGAGGTACACGTCATCTTTTTCCTCTAATGGCTTTATGGAGATATAATTCACATAACATAAAACTCATCCCTTCACCCTAAAAAGAAACCCTGTACCTGTTAGCAATCATTTCCTATACCTCCTCTCCACCACCCTGGCAACCATTAATCTACTTCATGTCTCTATGGAATTGCCTATTCTGGATATTTCATATAAATAGGATCATGCAATATATGGAAGTTTGTGTGTGGCTTCTTTCATTTAGCATAATTTCAACGTTTATCCATGTTGTGGCATGTGGCTGTTTTTTTTTCCCTTCATTCCTTTTTATGGCTGAATAATATTCCACGGTATAGATACCACGTTTTGTTATTCATTCATCAGTTGTTGGACATTTGGGTTGTGTCTACTTTTTGGTTATTATGCATAAAGCCACTATGAATATTTGCATGCAAGTCTTTGTGTGGACATGTTTTCCTTTCTCTTGGATCTATACCTAGGAACAGAGTTACTGGGACATGTGGTTACTCCATGTTTAACAATTTAAGGAACCAAATGGCTTTACAAAGTAGTTGTGCAATTTTACAACTCCACTAGTAATATGTGAAGGTTCCAATTTCTCCACATCCTTGTCAACACTTTTAATTGTTGAGTCATTGTTCTAAACCCTTTACAAGTGTTAACTCCTTTGATCCTCCTAGTAATGCTATATCCAGAAAAGGGAATGCAGAGTCAGAGGGGCTGAGTAACTTGCTCAACACTAACACACTGGAGAGTGGCAGAGCTATAATTAGGAATATGTTACACGAAGAAAACACTATTTGAACACTCAAGGGAATGAAAACAATTTGGGGGGATTTTTTTCTCCCTTTTTTTAACGGAACTTCCTGAGTTTAAGATAAAATCCTCTGTTCTATGCAAGTTGAGACTGTGGATGTGCTAAATCCACTCCTGCCTTATGCTTCAGGGATAGCCAGTATTGGGGCTTAATATTGAAAACAAGAGGGAGAAAGAAATAATCTCTGAATATTCATTTCAATTAAGGCAAAGTTTTCCATTTAGTCAAGAACAAAATCTATCAGCCACTGATATTTTGTGAATATTTGAAATTTAAAAAAAAATTCATTTTTTAAAGGGGATTTGAAAAAGTTTGTTCTCCAAGTGTGATCTTTATTATTCTTGGACCAAAACAGTTTCCAAGGTACACATTTTCACATTCTTAACGAAGTCAGTGGAAATTGACTTCAAAGCCAATTTTTATGACTGTCTTAATTGCATGAAGATACATGCCATCTTTTAAATGGAATTTAATCTAATTTTATTGAAATTCATAATTGTAAAAAATTTATATATTTTTTATATTAGGATAATAGTCAAGCAGAAGTATACCATCTTTTAATGTTTGGTCTCAAAAGTAGAAGTGTCAACATTCTTAAGAACATGGCAATAAAGTAAATGCAGTTAACTCAGTGCCTAGAAAAGACTTGGAATAGAGTCAAACTTTGACCTTAGGAATCTGATTTCCAAGACTACGTGCTATTTAAGAATAAAATTGTGCATTTGTACAAAACATTCCAAGAGTCTGTATTCAGTGAGTTTTGTCTCTGGCAGAGGCACCAAGATGGAGGATGATGCTCATGTCCGTGCCTCCTAAGGAGATTGTCCTCTGTATCTCTGATTCACAGATAGTGATATTCAATAGAGAAAGCGCCGAAGGAAGAGGGAAAGTGTATCTGTAGAATCAAACAATGAGCCAATCATTTTCCTGCTGACCATTTCCCTATTGCTTCTGAAGTAGCTCAGTTCTTAGAAGAGCTTGTGAGGAGGAGAAAGACCATCTTGAAATGAAGGATACAAGCTACCTTACAAAAAGCAGAACTGCTTCAGAGGAATCAGTTACAGGGGAAGTTTGGGAGGGAGAAATGATCAGTTTGGAAGAAAAATTTGTTCTGTTTTAGACATTGCACATTTGTGGTTTGGGGCATTTTATGAGCACTCTACTATCTTCTATTCACATGGAACCATTCCAGATAATGTTATATGAACATACAAACCCTAGCATACTTATTATTTTAACAGCCTTATTGATGTCTAATTCACATACCATACATTTCACTCAAAGTAAACAACTATCCTCCTTATGATATTATACAGGAGTGTTATATATAATATGGTTCCTTATAACTTTTAAAGTGCAGGTTCTTCTGGTGGTAGGGTTTAAATGTACTAGAAAGAAATTATAGGGCCCAAATAATTATTTTAGCTTTCAAAAAGTCTAATAAACCTTGTAGCAACTTTGTTTTTGCAACATCCTTGTTTTAAGGAAGGAAGTTAGAGATATTTGCCTCTCCAGAAATTTAAATGGAATTATAAAACTCCCATCCCCTTCTATGCTGTTGACAGGGTTATTTTCATGTTTAAGTGAGGCTGTTTGAGGTTTTGAAGCATAACTTCACAAGCTTCAGAGTACAGGCAAGCATACAGTGAAAATTTTACAATTTGTTTCCTTCTATGACTTTTGGTTATATACATGGAAGTCATTCTCATAGTTATATTTTTCACTATTGGTGGCAATTATTAGGGTTTTAGCAGGTGATAATCATGTTCTTTTCCTTGATTTGTGTTTAGAAACAAATGAGAAATAAGATACAGGAGTCAGACAGATAGAATCAAACTATCAGCTTTATTACTGATAAAACTGATTGGAAAGCAGGGCTTAGGTGTGCAGCCACAATGGTTTCCTTGGATCATTATGATTAGGTTCAATGCTAGTGCTAGAAAACTCAAAATAACAGAGGCATAAATGAGGGAGAGACTATTTTTCACCTAAAAGTCTAGAGGTGTCAGATCAGGACTGGTAGAGGGTTCCACAGTATACAGTTCTCAGATGCCTTTCAATTTTGTTGATTTGCTATGTGTGGCTTCTTTTTCCAAAGTCATCTCGGGGTCTAGGATGGATGCTCCAGCTCTGGCCATCATGTATACATTCTAACCAATAGGAAGAAAGAGGAGGATAAGGGAGGGATGTCTCAATTTAAGGACACACCATTTGTGCTTATATCCCATTAGCTAGAACATAGTCACTTAGCCACATCTAACCAGGAAAAGTGCCCAGTTTTTAGCTGGGTAGTCATGTACCCAGCTAAAAACTGGGAATTCTAATATCGAATGGGAGAAAACGTATTACTGGACAACTTGTAGTCTCTGCCACATTCCTGAGTTAAACTTACGCAGCCCGGCAGAGGCAGAGCTAGACAACCACCGGCCTCCCCTATAGTGCAGGGCAAGCTGCTTACCAGAGATGTACCTCGGGGATAAGCTGCTTGTAAGAGGGGAACCCAGAAGGGCTGAGCCAAACATGCTCAGTTCCTTCTCATTCGCACCCACTGAGAGAGGCCGGACGTGTTTCTCCTATACTTTTCCTTTCCTAACTGATGTCTGGTTTTTCTGAGTGACAGTACAGTGAACTGTCATAAGGCAGGAAAGCAGCACACGATTTGGCACCACAATAACAAGGTTTTCTTAGTTTCCCATTATCTAGCCTTTCTTTGTCTTCACTGTCCATTAGATTAAGAAATCTTCCTGAATAATCATATGAGAGTTCTTCTTCTGGCAAAATGTCTTTGGCTGCAAAAAGTGCCAACTTTGGTACCATTGAGTCAATTCGGACAGGAATCATCAACAGGTTTGGCTCACAAGAATGATTAAGGAATCTTCCAATATTTCCTATATGGGCAGGATCAACAAATGTTTCTATTACCTGCCCATTATAAACATGTTCCCTGACGGCTATAATGTAATTCAAATCGTGTACAGTTTGTAATTGAATTCTTCTCTGTACTTCGGAGAATCCTAAAACCTCGCCAGCATATTCACAGACAAACCGTCCTTTTGGTATAAATTCCAAGGTACGAAGTCCCCAGCCTTTTTTATCTGTCTTGAACACCTGGAGGTGGAATCGCAGACCCTGCTGGACTACTCTGTTCCTGCACTGGTCACTGCACTGGCACAGGACACTGCATTCAAACACTGGCTCGGCACACTTGGCTTCGGACCCTATGTGTCTGAGGCATGAATTACCATCATAGTTCTCCTCGCGACGGAGACAGGAGCAAGAACCAGGGAGGCAGGGAGTTTTGAGACAACTGCATCCAGGAAAGGTTATTTGAGTGGGATCAATGTCTGTTCCGGGTCCAGCTACATGATCAGGAGTATACTGCAAAAAGTAGAAATAATGTAAGTCAGCATGACATGTCACGTATTTCATATACATTTAAAGCAGCTTTTGGCTGAGACACTTCCTAATTCCAACATATATAAAAATAGAACAAACCTGACAAACACATTAAAATATTGTCTGAAAATATATCTCTCCAATTTAAAAAATAAAATTATTTTTTAGATTTAAAATTCTATGGTTTCATTTTAGATATAAGGATAACAATAGGAAAATATGTATTTTTTTTCCTCTTAGAAATTGAAAGCTATGTAACCATTTCATTTCCCTCTTAGCTTTGGATGTGAGGAAAATCAGCGCTGAATTTAGTTTCTGAATGCAGTTAAGTGTTCTCTCCTTGGCTTTTGATCTCCTTTACATTTATCTGATAATATGTACATAGTTTTATTGTGAGTTACCTCAGATCCTTTTTGGGGATAAGAAAGTCATAAATGATAAATCAATGAAAAATGGCCTTTGTAAGAGAGTCTTCTGTTTATTTTTTTAAAGAATTTTTTATGTGAAGATTATTTAAATTCTTAAATAGTCTCTCATGTTTTAAAAAATACTATTACCTTATAGTTCTATTTGAGTCTTCACAATGTCAAAAACAGGCATTTGGCCAAAAAATTACAGACAGAATTCCAAAAAATGTATTTGCTACATATATATTAATAGATACTTAAATTTATTGTAGATATATTGTATACATGTAAGAAATCCTGTTCTTATTAAATGAGAAAGAGATAATATGAAAAAGTTTCTCAGTCTTTTAAATGTACCTGTATTTTCAAAATGTTACATTTATAAAATGTTACAGGAAAAAAAGTCCTAAGTCTAAAATCTCTGTGTGAAGCCTGACCTCTGGTTATTTCCTTATGGGCATAATGAAGCTTATTTTTTTTTTTTTTAAAGATTTTATTTATTTTATTTTTTCCCCCCAAAGCCCCAGTAGATAGTTGTATGTCATAGCTGCACATCCTTCTAGTTGCTGTATGTGGGACTTGGCCTCAGGATGGACGGAGAAGTGGTGCCTCGATGCGCACCCAGGATCCGAACCCGGGCCACCAGCATTGCAGCGCGCGCACTTAACCACCAAGCCACAGGGCCGGCCCTGAAGCTTATTTTCAAACGCTGAAGATTATAGTGTCTCTCATGAGCCCAGCATATTTTCTTATGTGTAGAATAATTCTTTTTTTCTTTGCAGGGAAAGATTCGCCCTGAGCTAACATCTTTGCCAATTTTCCTCGTTTTTTTTTACTCCCCAAAGCCCTAGTGCATGGTGGTATATCCCGCTTGAAAGTCTTTCTAGTTCTTCTATGTGAGCTGCCACCACAGCATGGCAACTGACAGACAGGTGGTGTGGTTCTGCGACTGGGAAAGGAATCCAGGCCGCCGAAGCAGTGAGAGCGCTGAACTTTAACCACTAGGCCATCAGGGCTGGCTCAGAATAATTCTTGCTTATACGGAATCTAATTCATTTATTCATACTTGCTTTGTTCCAAAAAGGATTTAATGAGGCTTACAAAGCAGTAAGATAAATGAACAATGGTAAGAAAAGCAAGGCAAAGGGGAAAATGAGAGCAAGCTAATCGAGCAAACTTAGTAGTAGAAGTAGTGGACATCTGGCTCTGCCTGAGAGCAACCACTTCCAAGAGGGAAATACAATTACATGTATGGTTTGCACTGTCCATAAGGAACATGACCCAATAATGGCTGTTGGCACGCTGCCACAGCACAGTCAGCAAAAGCAGTTCTGAGGGACCAGTTGCACAGTCTTTAATTCAGGGACAGATTTTAGAGTATCTAGAGGAGTGTTCCAACCTCATATCTTTCAGTCAATCTTCCATTAATATTGTGTCTCCTGGCCAAGCTTTAGAAAGGTATTGAACAGCATGTAGTTAAACTCCCTGTGGAGGCCTCGGTGGAGCTATGCAGTTGGGTGTAAAACCCCATACTTGAAAAAACACTGAGCTGGAGGGAAGGACTGACATCTTCTTGTGAAAGTTGAGGAGGATGATGAGTGGGAGTACCTGCGAGGGAAGGCCAACACTGCTTAAAAAGTGATTTGGGGGTGGAAAGCAGAAATAGCTTCTCTTGTTTGTGTCATTTCTTCCAGCTTTACCTTAGCAGAGATGTCCTAAAGGGATAAAGGAGGGCTTAGAAAAAGATGCCCTATCAGTCAAATTCAATGACTGCTGTCTTGTACAGAATCTGTCACCAGCTTTTAAGTCATCGCTGAAATGTAAATGGTTATTGAGACGTTTTAAGAAGCGCTTGTAAAATGAAGATTTTACTATCTCTTTGTTAAACTTTTCATGAAGAATTCTTTTAAATTGTTCTTAAATTTGTCTCTTAAATTTGTTCTTAAAGGCACACATATTTTTAATGTACTATAGAAATCACTAAACTCGAAAGTGATTTTTTTGACACAGATAACTCCTTTTAAAATCAAGTCTGACTTAACTGCAGTTTTCTAACCTTGTGGAACTTATTTCCATGTGGATAGGTTTGGAAAAATACTTCTATTTGCTTATTTTTACTTATACATTTAAAAAAGATTTTGGAGAACCTAGTGAGATATATATATACGTATTTTAATTCTGTAATTTAAACTTGATATACAATCTAAGATCCTCTAGAGACTTAGATTACAAATGGTAGCTAATTCCAAATGAGCTGCAGACACCTTCCAAAGGATAATAGAGACGTCTGGATAAAATTTTCTGTTTAAAGAGAATATTTTTTTTTCCCTTCATGGGTGTAATCATTGACCCTGATACCAATAATCATCACAAATCATTTTATGTCTATATGTTTTCATTTTTCTCCTCCATATAAGGTTAGTAAAATACCATTCCAGAAAGATATTTTACTTGACTTAGAAAAATGGCTATACTAAAGAATAATCTTTTAAAAACCATGGTCTAATTTAACGTACGATTATGTAATTATCCATCTTTTCAGATATTTAACTACATATTGAAAAATTATTTATTCTTCTCAGAAATAATCTGTCATTGACCTGACATTCTATTCAAATATTGATATGCGATGCAAACTGTTAAACTTTAAGTATCCTTGAAAGCTAATGGAAAGCTTGTTACAAATTGGGAGTCAGTTGACCTGAGTGTAAATGCTCCCAATTTGTAACACTCTTTCCATAGTCTCTAACCTACTTCCAGGTACAAAGCCGAGGACCAAACTGATCCCAAAAGGGTGTTACCCTGAGGATTTTTGTACCTACTCTAACCCAGCAAGAGATCAAAGCTTGGGGGATGCGACCATAAAGGACATATGTTTTCACTTGCACAGCATCCATTCCTTTTCTTCTGATAAAAGCACCCCCAACTCATCACAGGGGAACTCTTCCCACTCTTGTCTCAGTGGTTTGGATAGGGGTACAGGTTGGACAGTGACCTAAGCCAGATCAACGAAACATAATTCTGGAACTTCAGCTGAAACAATTAGGGAAGAGGCATTCTCTTTCCACTGGGGCTGCTAAACTCTAGAGTTCACCCGGCATTCCCAAATTCTGCCACACACCTAAGACCTATTGAGTGTGTAGCCAACCACAGGAAAGGGGAACGGGGGGGGTGCTACACCTACCACAGAGGTAGGTGGTAGAAAGAAATATCTGATGACACCATTAGAGTTCTTGGATCCAGACATTCCTATAGTTACCACTCTGGGACTTTGGTGTTATGTGAGGCAATTCGTTCCCTTTTTGCTTGAGTCAGTTTGTGATGTATTTATGTTTCTTGCAAACAAACAAGTCTTGACTGATATACCCAGAGTGGAAGCTGAGAATGGTGCCAGGAAATGGCTAAAATTTAGTCAAAGATATAAATGGCCAATGAGCAATAAGGTCTCCAAGTGGGAGGTGGGACTGGAGCAGGGTACAGGAGGCCATACAGGAAAACTGACTGTGGCCTGGAACACTGGACAAGCGCTGGAGAACTTCTGAATGTAGAATATGGAATGTTCTAAACAAGACACATACAGAGCCAGGCTCTTACTAGCATTGTGACTTAGGGCAAGTGACTTGCTAAACTTTGGGTTAGCAACTATAAAACAGTGAAAAGTTTGACAGAAAACTTGAGACAATTTTTTTTATAAAAAAAATTTGGCTTCTTATTTACCCAAGAAACCAAAATGGAAACAGGAGACAGCATGTTGAAGAGCAAATATACCTCCTTGGCTATTCTCATCCACAATTTCTCCCTTCTCTGAACTAGACCTGCACTTATATTCATAGCATGAACTTTGGGATCTAAATGGCATAGACTGTAGGACTCTCTAGTTATACTAAATGTGTAGGTCTTGTCTTTCTAACAAATATATGTCTCAAGGAAAGGCATGATCATGAGGTCTGGGTGTGGTATGGTGGTACGGGTGGGGTTCCTATCCAGAGTTCTAGGCACAGAGCAGGCACTCAGGAACTATCTTTTGATTGACTGATTGCAGCTCTTGATAACTTCTGATTAGTAGTATGACTTTTGGGAGTCACACTCTGTATTGAAGCCCCAGAAACTAAAGTATGACACTGCATAATATTCTGAGCTTAAAACCTAGGCCTTGATTCTGAATTTCAAGGAAGTGCTGTGAAAATCTTCATTCCTTTTTTAGTTATTTTGAAACACCAGCTACAAGAATATTTGTACTTGGCCTCTAGCCCCATGAGTTTGTTTTTGCTCCAAGCAGCCATTAGGAGACTGTGAGCCAGATAATTCTTGTCAAGGCCAAGTTGAAATCTTAAAAAGGATGTCTGAAGCTGGTTTCACTGACCTGAAAAATAGTTAGATCCATCTTAGCTCAAAATCAATTAGTTTATCTTCTACTTGGCTTTCAACACTGATGGCATTACGATATGCTTGTTTCCAATCTGAACATTTGAACATTCTTCTTGCCTTTTCACACAGTACCCCAAAGCAAACTAGACACAAAGTTATTTTTACCTTGAGTTTTACCATGCCTGAATTCTTACCTGTGCATTTGCCTGTGAAGGCAAGGTTTGGGGCAAGCAAGCTGTTTTGACCTTTTATAAGACCGGTTTTGTGCTTCATGAAGATATGGAAGCACACTAGTTGAAGGCACTTTTAGGCTTGTCATTTAAATGTTTCGAGCATGTTTTATCTTCTTAGTAAGACTATAAGCTCCTTGAGGAAGGAATCTTGTCTTCTTTCTGAAACTCTAACTCTACCCAGAGGTGTGCATATAGCCAGGCAGCTAGAACACTGTGGGACCGAGTCTTAGACTCCTGATTTTCATTTATGCCCATCAACTCCAGGTATAAGGATCAATCCACAAGGCTTCCTTCCCCTGCTTTTTATAGCAACCAAGTGCTTTCTATATGCTCTTATAAACTCAAGGGCAGGAATTGCATGTTGTCACCATTTTATCTTCTATGCCTAGCTTAACATGGTGCCCAGCACATTACAGGCACTCAATGATTTGTTGAATAAAGAAAACATATATCAGTTGTTTTTGACATTCAGCAGTTTGGTCTTGAATAAACTTTTAGGGATCAGTGTTTAATTTGGTGCTAGCCAACCATATTATTAACCATAAACTGCCTATGGCAGTTTGAGGAATAACAACCATTTCTGACATTAATATCCTGCTCTACTCTTTGAAAATTGCTATTGAATCTATTGTCTCATCTGATCCTCACAACAAACCTAGGAAGGACAGACAAGACTCAATACTGATAATGGATGTGAAAAGGGCTATAAATTTTTATTTTCATTTTGCAGATGAAGAAACAGGCTCTGAGACATAGCTAAGATGGCTAAGTCCTGAACCTAGCTCTCCTACCTCCAGGTCCAGTGCTCTTTCCATTCCAACATCCTTGATTTTTGGGCTTTTTTTTTCGTTAGGCCTTATTCCTTAGGCAACATGCAGGCCAAGGTCAGAGGAGTGAGAAACTTAGTGCAGGAAGGGCTTTGAGGTATTAACAGTAATGAACTTTATTGAGTTCTTTCAGCAAACCAGGAACTGTATTTTACTTGTAATTCTCAAACCAATCCGGAGACAAGTACTATTATTTTAATTGCACTTGGGAGAACTTCAAGGCTTAGCTGAGGCTAGTTTATATTGCCCAACAGCTCATCCGCAGCATGAGGGAGACCTCAACTAAGTCTGTCTCTAGGAGCTAAGATCCGTTAGTAGGCCTCATGCCTTATTTTACATATGAGTCACCTAAGACCGGAGAGCCTAGTGATTTGCCCGAAATCCCTCCATGAACTATGGGATCAGAAAGAGGACAAAAAGACAGGTTCTCAGGGCTCTTTGCACGGGACCTCACGAAACCTGTAGTTTTGCCCTTCAGGGAACTGCCAGTCTATGGGCAGAAAAGAAAAATACTCTTGTTAAGGTCATTACGGAGGATTAATAGAAAAAGACCGAAACCTGTGCATTTAAGAGCTATTCTCGCGCGCGCAAATAGCTGTGCGATAGCGTAAGTAAAAAGATGGCGAATTTTGGAGACAACCCGCAGTATTAGAGTCTTCCACAGAAGTACGACCACCTGGGTAGCTGCACAGCCAACCCTGGCGGGCACCTAGCCAGGCACCCTACTTGGAAGAGCGCCAGCCCCGCCCCGGGGGCTGCGCGCGCAGCGCTCGTGACCGTCTACCGCCGCCCGGTACAGAGGGTGCCGGCCCCGCCCTCGGGGGCCGCGCGCAGTATTCTCCGCGGCCGAGCCCCGCCCCCTACCTGGAAGGGCTCTGGCCCCTGCCCCGGGGGCCACGCGCTCACAGGCAAGTTCTCCAGGCCGCGCGCGACATCCAGCTGCTGGGTCGGGGCCTCACCTTTCTCCTCAGACGCTGCCATCCCGCAAGGCCACTTGTCCACGGCTTTAGCGGACATTGCGCCCAGTCACGATGCGCCTACCACCTAGGCGATCTTAAGCCTCGCAGAGGATGCCGGGAGTCGTGGATCCCGCGGCCCCGCCGCCTCATGGGAGTCGTAGTTGTTTTCTCTCCTTTCAAGAGTGGCTGTGAGGGCGTCTTCTCCGTTGACCCTCAGCTTTCCTTGAGTTTTTGGTCTGGCTCCCTATTTGTTGGAGCCACATACACAACAAATAATGCAAAACCTTGTAAGGTACGGACAAAGCTTTGGGAACACAAAATGAAGTGCTTTAATTTTTCCTGTGACCCTCAGGGAGGGCTTTGGAGGCCGGGTTATTTGTCCAGGTGTCTGAGGGCTTAGAAGTTTGCTGGAGTGGGGGAAGGGCGGGCTCTAAGCTGAGGGGGAAGTGCACACCGGTTTCTAAAGATCTGAAACTTGCGTGGAAGTTGGATGACGTGTGATAGGGTTTGGGGTCAGGCGGCCCAATAGCCTTATAGGTCGCCGCAAGGAATGCGTGTTGTCTACACCCGCTCCGTGATTGAGGTATCTGTTCCTTATCGGCTTCCCCTTCCTTCGAAAAACAAACCCTGCTCCGGCAAAGGATTCTGATAACCTCGAAATTGCTGAATCCAGTGGAATATTTTCAACCTTACCAAGGCTCTCTGACCCGATTGTCCTGCTGCTTCTACTTGAAACCTTCTCTCCTCGCAGCTTCTGCGGGCCCCTGCCCTGGATGCGCTTCTCTCTTGCAAAATGTGCTTAGTATCCTTTTGTCCTTCTGCCTGACTCTGAAATGAGGGTGGATGTCACTCGGGTTTCTGCCCCGGGCCCTTTTCTCACATTCTCTGGGCTTCCTCAGTAATAGCATCTGCTCCCGTGGCTTCAGATGCTGTTGTAAAGTAGTAGGTCGTCAGTCTCCAGCCCAGAAGTTATGGATATCCGATTTGGATATCCACTTAGCTCCGGTTATGGATATCCAACCAATTGTTGGACATTTCTACTTTCTGCCTTATATGCGCCTCAAGCTCAAAATGACCTGAGTTGACTTATTCTTCTGCAAATCTTCCTTTTCTCTTTTAAAATGAACTGGGAGAATAATTTATCCATGATCTCCAGAGTTACCAAAGCAACAAACCAAAGCATTTCCCTGTGTTCCTTCCTCTGCTTAGACCTCCATAGCTAAGAACTTCCTGGTCAAATCTTGTTGATTCTACTTTCATAATGTTTTTCCTTTTCATTTCTTCTTACTTAGTCTCAGGATGTCTTTCCTTGCTTCGGCTCTTGAAGCAATTTTTTTCAAGTCTAACGTTCTCCATACCCCCACATCACCCTTACTGCTGCTTCAACAGTGACGTTTTGAGGGTGCACATCCAATTATTATATTGCACTGTTTAAAATCCTGTGTTTGCTCCATGTTTCTCTCAAAGTCCACCTTCTCAGTCCTGGCTTATGAGGCCCTTAAAGATCCAGACCCTATTTATTTGGTCTCTGTTTTGCACCTCTTGTTGTATTTACGTTTTTCTCAACAAGCTGTGCTACTTGGGCCTCTGCCTTTGTTCTCATTGTTCCTGTGTCTCCAGTGTGTTTTCCCCATACTGTCTGTAGACTCAGCTCAAGGGTCCCCTTCTCTACATCCTTCCTGGCCCTGTATCTGTAGCATTGGTTACCCTTTTCTTTGTGCTCCCATTTTACTAGATAAGCCATTTCTTATTGTCCCTGCAACTTTTTAGTATACTCACAGGCAAAGCCTTCCTATTGAAGTCATAAAAATTATATACACATGGGAAGAGACAGAGAGGAACATTTTGTTTTAGCTTAAATAATCTTGGTACATTTATTTGCAAGTCTTTTGATATAGAGCCAAGGTGGTTTTTTTTTTTGTGTGTGTGTGTATGGATCTACTGATTAGAATTCCATGTCATGCTTACTCTGAGTTCCAGTTTGGGTGTCTTCAAAGTAGGGCAGGAACTAGAAAATAGTGAAGCAATCTGAGTTCATGATAAGTTTTTTTCACGCAGTCTTGTATACTTTTCTTACACCCACTTCAGTGGCAAAACATTTTTTAATGACTTGACTATTTTTCAAGTCTTTCTGGAGTGCTTCACTTAAGTTTTCCTAAAGGAGAGAAACTCTTCACACTGATAGTTCATCATCATTTCCTCAGATAAATATTGTAAGTTATACCTGGCATTAATAGTGTCCTAGTTTAGGTTGCTATAACAGAATACCATAGGCACAGTGACTTAAAGAACAAACGTTTATTTCTCACAGTTCTGGAGGCTGGAAGTCAGAGATCAGGGTGCCAGTGTAGTCGGGATCTTGGTGAAAGCCCTCTTCCTGGTTCGCAGATGGCTGTCTTCTCATTGTATCCTTACGTGGGGGAAACAGAAGGGGCTAGCTCTCTTCCTCTTCTTATAAGGATAATAATCCCACCCTAGGGGCTCCACCCTCATGACCTAATTACCTCCCAAAGGCCCTACTTGCAAATATCATCACATTAGGGCTTCAATATATGAACTTTAGAGGGACATAAACATTCAGTCTGTAGCAAATAGGTTTGGGAATAGACATTCAGATCAGGCTTATAATGTGTAGCCATAAGCAGGTAATAAAGTCACTTAGTTTTGCACTGAAGTACACATGTCTAATATAAAAACCCATTTTTGAGAGCAGGTTTAGATGGGAAGATAGAAAGTTGATTCTATGTAGAAAAGTACCAAAGACTAAGGGGGCTTAGGATCTGGAATCAGACATGCCTACGTTCATGGTTCTACTTGGCCAGTTTCTCACCATGGGCAACAATTGCTAACATTCATCGAGTTATTATTATGTGCCAGACACCATTTAAGAACTTTACATGCACTAGTTCATTTAATTTCCAAAATAAGTTTCTTGAAACCTTATTGAAATGACCCACTAAGGGTCGTTTTAGATTCAACTAAACGTTCAGACTCATAGGACTCTCATAGGCCACGCTTGGCTTTAGGTTCACTTTGAAGGTCATGGGATAGGAGCCACAGCCTGCCAGCAGAGAGGCTTCAGATGTTCTTCTATGGGAATAGTGCATGCAGCTGTCACATAGCAGGTCACAATGTTGCTTTGGAGCATTCTTCTTTGTCTTCCCAGAGGACGGCTCAAGTGCAAGAAGAGATCCCCATTCATAGGGTGTGGGAGCATCCTGAATTAGAAACCTTACACCCCATAGGAGCCATAGGCTTTACGGTTGTCACCTAGTAAATATTTTATGACATGGCTGTGCACTTGCTCTTACTTAAAAAAGGAGATAGTCACCCCTGTAATACAATGGGCTATAGTATAATTAAGGGATGTAAGGAAGGTTCAGGTGAAGTGCTATGAAACCACCAGAGAGAAAGATGACTTCTAGCCGGGGAGATTAGGCAAAGCTTCATGGAGAATGGGCTATTTGCCATAGGCCTTGAAGACTAGATAGGGTTTAGGAAAGGGCGTTCCAGGCAGACAGAACAGCAGGAGCAAAGGAATAAAGAGAAAGGTGAGTATAGGAAAGGGTAATTTCAGATTGGCTGGAGATCATGTTCTTTTCATTTTTCAGGAATTGTAAATAATGAAGAAATTTTGCAGATATCCAAAGAACAGCTGTGCTTTCATTGTAAGAAAGTTTTTGAACAGTGATTACATGCACAGTGCTACGTTTACCAGTTTGGGGAATGTACCCCTGAAGAGGACATAGTGCCTGAGGAGAGCTTCCAATCCAGTAAACGAATAACTGTGTACATCCAGAAATTAGTAAGAAGTGTAAGAATGTTAAGAAGAAAGAATTTAAGAGCAATGAGGAGAACCACGCTCCTGTATTTGTAGATTACTATGCTGTTTTGATTTTTTGACTCTTTCTTGGTAATATTGTATGCCCTTTGGAAAAATGTTTTGAAAGATCTGTTTTTTTTTTCTGAAGCTGTCAGTGACAGTTCTTCCAGAATAAGATATTCAGTTCATGTCAGCCCTTCAGTTTAATTTGTTTTTATCTTGCTGGCAAAGGATCCAAAAATATTTTATATAGTGTGAGATTAAAATAATGAGAGGATGTTTGCAGGCTGATATAACCAATCTTCAGAGTGCCAAGCAGTCAGTTTTCCGTCTTTTCCAGGTCTAAAAACCTATCTTATTTTCTCTAAATACCTGCTCTTCACTGAACAGGAGCCTAGAGCTTCAAAATTTCTTCTGAAAGCCATAATAGCTACATGGTGAAAAAAAGTGTATCCCTGGACATTTATGAGTTGCCCAAATTGACTTCTATAAATAAGCCTTGGACCTGAATATTACATTGATTATTCAGATTTCTTTTGGCTTTTTCACTGGCGTGAGAGAAATTAATCTGAGCAATAATAAGGAAAAATATTAATGAAAAAGAAAATAATACAATATAGTAAAACTAACATTCTATAGGTTCAATTATATTTTGCTAAATTATGGGGTATGACTATTATGACCTTCTCATTTTTTTAACAGATGACCTTTAATTGAGATATTTTTCATATGTGTTTTTGTCAGTGTTTTAATGAAGTTCTGCATGATTTTGTATTCATAATCCATTCTTGTATCAAAGCTCACTAGCATAGTTAATCTGAGATATACTTTCTAGTCAGTGATGAAAGGTCTAAAGTCAGCAGAAGTTATATATTTGTTGGTTTTAAAGACAGCATGAATAGAATAGTTTGGAACATCTTAGCTTTCCAACAATAATTGTCACGACTAAGATATTACATAGGCCTAGTATAAGCACTGAACCCTCTCATCAAATAAGATTGTGTAAATGAAATCATTTTGAAGAGAACAAAGCATGGTAGTTGATACTTTTGGGGGTTTCTGCTTAACTTGTTGACAGTTTCCCTTCTGAGAACATGCCAGCCCCCACACTGCTCATCCCATGCGGTGGGCTCACTGGCATTCATGTTTATATTACACAACCCCTAAGTCTTGGCCCATGCTTTGGACCTCTGGATGCACACCTGATGCAAGCTAGGCCAATCAGATTCTCTTGATGAGTAGTTGAGACCAAAAAACAGCTAAAACTGTAGCTATAGTTTAGG